TGGAGATGGGAGACGATGGAGATGGAGATGATTGCAGAAGGGGCAAAAAGAAGGAATGGTTGGGGATTAAGAGAACGACGTCGTTTATGGTTGGGACTCCAAATTTTTTTTCGGAGGCAGAACTGATGCTCACTTTTCCCTTAACTATATATATTACAATGATAAACATATCAAACAAATAAAAATATTTTATTAAATTTATTTTACTTGTCGGGTTATTAGTAATTCGTCAAAAGATCTATAAAAGAATCAAAGTTAAAATTAAAACATACCATTTTATTTTTTTTTTCAAAAAGGGTTTATTTGATTTTTTTTTAACTATAGGACCTATTTAATTTTTTTTCAAAAGTCTAGGGGGGGCGAGCGCCCCCACTTGCACCCCACCCCCCCGGCTCCGTCCCTGGGTATGAACGAGGGTGAAGAGCTGAACCCAATTAAAACGGACAACATGGTTTTGAGCGAGGGGAGTAAGAGTTATGGATAGAAATTGGAATGTGGGTTTAGAAAAGGAAAGAGGATCTGTTAGTCAAGAGATGTTTCTTGCAAGAGGACTGGGGGTTGATGGCGGCATAGGTGGTTTGGGTGGTGATGGTGGTGGTGATGGTGGTGGCGGCGGTACTGGTAGGCTCAATCCGTCTGGCTCTGGCAGAGAAGGTGGGGACAATCATGGAGTTGAGGAGTATTATGAGAGGATGGTGGAGCAAAATCCTGGCGAACCTCTGTTTCTCAGGAACTATGCTCAGTTTCTTCTTGAGGTATGCCCCCCTTAACCCAAGTTTTGGTATTCAAGATTGTTTCTGAAACATCCTTACATCGTGCATGAGCATATTTTACAGACAATGAAACACCTTTTCTGGAGCAGAGGAGTACTACTCTCGAGCCATATTAGCAGATCCTATAGATGGTGAGAATCTGTCCCAATATGGAGAGTTACTGTGGTAGTTGTTCAAGTTACTTCGAACGAGCAGTTCAGGCGTCTCCCCAGGATCGGCATCTGTTTCTCTTCCATTCCAGAATCATGTTTTTATAGAATAGACTTCTAAATCTGGATTCTGATTTACCTTAGTAACAACATTCGATTCCAGCCATGTTCATGCAACATATGCTGGTTTCCCCTGGGAAACAGAGGAAGAACGAGAAGAGTGTAGCACTCCATACAAGATTGATTCCAAGCCCCTAGAGTTTCATGGAGGAATGGAAAATGCTTAACGGATGAAGATTCAAAACAAAGCACGGCCAGCTTTAGTGAACTACATTAAACAGGCAAATCCAGATTTCTTATAGCATATACAGAATAAATTACATGACCCGATCGCTCCACGAGCTGGTCATTCATCTGATGATAACTGTAGATTGATGGATGAGTAAGAACATTTATTTAGAGACTAATTTTGTCATTTTGATCATAAGAAAAATACTCTCATGGCAAGTGCATTAATTTGAAAAGAAAAGTTGACCAGGAAACACAAAACCTGCCATTATCACATTTCCTCAAACACATGTCACAAGGTAAAAAATTTCCTCACTTGAATAGGATGATAAAAGCCATTCAAGAGGAAAAGTATATGCATACCAGAGGAAATAAAATCAAAAATGTTCTTCCAAAAACCCCATTTATGTGGAACAACACACCACCAAAAAGTCCAAATATCTAAAAGAAGCAACTGACAATATTTCCATCAGAAAAGCTCAACCTTCAATCATCTTGAGACTTGAAACTTGCGAAGTGTTTAGCCAAACTGCATTTGGTTTTGGTTTCCTATTATAATGTCTTATCGTGAACCACGCGGTTGGTAACCATTCCCTCTTGCTCTGTAGTCACCAGAGTCTTGATTGTTTCCCCTGCCCGAACTACGAGAACCAAAGCGACCCCTTGGGGCCTCAGATGCATAACTACCTCTGCCCCTTCCTCCTCTTCCTGGTAAATAAAATTTGAATACATCTTGGTCAACAGAGCAAAATGCAAGCAACTTTCAGTAATTTACTACCAAAAGGACATAAGAGTATCAATTCGAAAACACTAATAGGTAATAAGAAACATTCAGGCCTGCAAATATTGCATAACATAAAATAAAGTTAAAGGGCATACTTCCTCCTCGAATACCGCTAGTATTTGGTCGCCGCTCCTCAATATATACTTGCCTTCCAGCCAGGTGTATTGGAGATGCCTACAGAAAGAACCAAGATAAAACATTTGTTGAATGATATAAATATATATATATGGCACAACAGGACAAAATGATTACATCTTGAAAATATTTCGGAAATGTAAAAGGTAAATTCTCTTGACAATAAAAATTGCTAACATAAAAATTGTATTAAACTCAAAGCAATTATCTATGCGTATAACTCTACTAGTTTCATGGCTAGGCTAGATCTCCATCTCATACAACAGCATTCAAACATCAAAGATGGGTTTTTTTCTTTTGAAAAGAAATAGAATTAACACCAAAAACATATCAATAGAAATGCAAATTAAAGCAATTCATCTACTTTTACCCTTTTCAAAAGAATCCAACAAAATGAACTAAGAGGAATTAAACCCAAATGTAATGAATAAAAACACCAGTCCTATGTTACAAGCCACGGCAAAGGCACAAGCTTGAACAAGCAAAATAAGCCATACAATTATGTTATAATCTGAAAGAAGCTTCCACAACACTTAAGTCAAACTATCAAACTATCAAACTTTAACATAAATTAAAGGTAGTTAAATGAAACATATATTATCCATTAGTCGCCATACTCACTCTTCTTCGAAAAGTATACTCTCATGGAAAAGTTAAATCTAGAAGGGCATAATAAGCACATCAATTGTAAAAATAAGAATAATTGTTTACTGATTTTGAAAAAAGACACTGATTTTGATACATCTAGAAATGGAAAAAGCTCAAAGAATTAATATAATTAAACAAATTATCATAGGAGGAAATTTTAGAAAGAAAAAGTTTCTTGATACCTTAATCGCATTTTGAACAGCAAGGATATCTTCAAACTCCACAAAAGCGTAGCAAACACCAGGAACATCCTGCATGCATAAAACCTTAATTCAGATTCTTTCATGTTATCAAACGATGATCAACAAGACAAGAGAAAGAAGAAACAACCTTTCGGTTCCTGATAAAGACACCATCAGGCTTGATTCTACCAAAGTTCTTAAACTCCTCTTCAATTTCTTCAGCAGTGACATCAGAGGGCAAGTTTCTGACATAGACAGATTTGAATTCACCTGAATGGATGAAAATTGAGAATCAACCTAGAGTTTGAGGTGCAACAAATTCAGGTGAATTACAAGTTATTTTCTTTCAACCTCAGGCAGGCAGATTTTCAAAAACTAAATGAACGAAATCATTTAGCCTTAAAAAATTTTAACATTTTACAAGTAGTTTTTTATATACATTCATATAATCCAGTGTTCAGCTACCTAAAAGACTGAGAAGAAACAACTTTTTTGCAGATAAATACAAACACAATGAGGCAATTAGCAAAACCAAAACGACATGGCTAAGCATCACAAGTCCCAACAGAGCACGTGGAAAAAATAGAAATAGTGTACTCAACCTTCTTCTGGGCCCAAGCTTTCCTCCACAGCCTCAGCAGATTCAGTCAAATCTGACCAAGCTGGACGTGTCTGCTGAACTGTAGGCTCTGGTATGTAATTCCAATCAGAAGCGTATTGGGCAGTGTCAGTATATGATGGTTGAGTTACTTGAGTAGGAACTGAAAGAACTGATGCAACAGCTTGCTCCTTCGCAACACGCAACTAGCATATTTTCAGCAATTAAAACAGAAAATGAATTAGTCAGTGACCCAGACAAAACAAAAACAAGAGTAAAAATACAGCATTCCCAAGCATGGTTACAAATCTATTTGTTCCATTCAAAGGATGCATTTATAGCTCAGAGTATCTTGGATGACTAAAGACCCATGTTGAAGGGGGCATCTTAAATTCCACTGTTTAATTCAACAAAGATCTTGTATTTTGATTGGGCAAAAGACACTCCTAGTAAGAGAAACATTCCCACATAAAGAGGTGGGTGTCCAAGATTAACTACTACTTGGGATAAGGTAACTGGTAAATCAGGGTTACAAAGATGAAGGGGCATCCTTCTCCAAGATATTGCTCATGCATGCTAAACAGAAAACACACTAATGAAAATTTTGGTTCCAATCAGAAATAAGACATGATACATTTTTCTAAATAATTATTTACAAGGTTCAAAAAGTTGGAACAAAAGCACAAATGAAAAATCTAAAACAACTGACGTGAATCCTATATATGCAGATTAATGACAGCCATATCAAAAGATATAGATTGATACTTACAATAGAGGCATAAGTTCTCTTTGCTGGCTCCCCAACAGGTTCCTCCAGAGCAGTTACCAGGGGTTCTTGCGCAGTGCTAGCCACATTTTGATGAAAAGAAGTTTCCTCTACAGGAGTTTCCTCCACGACAATTTCAGCTTCCACTTCCTCTTGCCGTGGCTGCTCTGGGATACTGTACTTATCCACTAGATCATCTTCTATATGAACGGAATTCACATAATCCCTGGCCTCTTCCTCCAAAACATAGTCAGAAACTGCAAAACCCACCCCATTACCCTAATTATGCAGAAAAAAGATACTAAATAATAGCATAGCTTTTGTTGACTATCTAAACAAAGAAAATAGATTGTATTTTCCCAAAATCAAAAAATAGGTTCTCATTTCTAACCAGTAATTCATAAAGTAAAGAAATTACTTCCAAATGAAAATTTAATGACACAAGGAACAAAAATAAATACTCAGTTTCAGAGGCTGAAACACCAAATGCTAATATAAATCAAAACCAACCTATGGCAAAGAATACACAATAATTAAAGTTTTAAACTTTTTTGAACTGGGTACTTGGATTAGAAGTCCAAAAAATGAAACTGCTAGAATCACCAATTTAACATAACCCACATAAAACTACTGAAGAAAAGAAACTTGCTCATACCTAGTGGCTCTGGAAGTGGGCTGGAAACATTTAGTTGAGCATCAATCTTATTTTCAGATAATACAGGAGAATGATGATGATAAATAATTCCATCATCAATGAACTGAAAGATATCATTGAGAACAAAAAAACCCTTCTCTTGAGGAGCAAGGAAAAAGGTCTGCACAAAATTTCTTCTGACACTAAAATCCTTGGCTTTAACAGCACCCGAAACCATCACCAGAACACCTCCGTTCCAGGAATCAACAGAATTTATTGTTTTGATCTCAATAGCAGTAAAATTTAGTGACATGATCATTGCATCAATTTGCTGTAAAATAAATAAAATAAAATAAAGATTAATCCAACAAATTACTATTTAATTAAGCATAGCATACAATCAAGAACTAGACAAGAATCAATATAATATGCTAAATGGACAACTAACAGGGAAACAGGGAGAAAAAAAACATAGAAGCCTGTAGCTCCATTGTGAAAACATAAACATGACTCCTATTAAATGTATACCTTCCAAAATTTGACTACCCAGGACCAGATCATATATTGTAGAAGAGAAATATTTCTACTATCAACATGAAATACAGAAGATATATACTAAATAGGAAGATATAATACCATCATTGCAGAAGCAGAGTCCCTCGATTCCCCATCAACACGAACCATGGTGCTATTATCAGAGTAAAACTGGTGAACAAGTTCCGGCTGTTGCTGAAGAACCTGATAATACTGTGTCACAAAGTATGAGCCAACCTGAAAGAACCCCAGAGAAACTATTAATAATAAAACCCAACATAAATTAATATTAAAAACGACAAACATAATCATCAAGATTTGTTCTTGAATCACCTGAACTGCTCCTGGGTAAGAGGTGGCCATTATTGCCTAGCTCAGAGCAAGAGCATGCAACAGAGAAAAATCCTTCAAAAACCCCAACGACCCTTTATTGCTCTTGGAACCCTGATCGGGACAGATCCAAGAGAACAATCAGAGTATCTGAAACCCTAGTTTTCGGAAGACTAGGGTTTAAACAGCAAAGAGTGAAGAACTCTGGAGTTATAGTATCAAAAACAAGAATATCTCAATGAGCAATAATTGGAGATTCGAAAAGAAAGATTCTTGCAGTATCAAGGTCGAGAAAGGACAGAGAAAGGAAGAGTTTTTGAAGAGAGAGAAGAAGAGGCGACAGTACCGGCGGAATTCAGATCTAACAAATAGAGAAAGGAGTCCGGCGGCTTCTAGCGGAGGCTGCAGTATTTCGGTCTCCTTGGATTCGCTGATCTCATGATGCCAGCTTATATATCGTTGCAGAATCTGCTGAGGATTACCGCATTAAATCACAGCTCTCCACTTTGTGGAGCCCATATTAAAGGGGACAGTAAAATCCCACCCGCAGATCTAAGTGGATTTTGCAATCCAACGGTTATGATTTTTTCCCTTTGGGCCTTAAGTCTTTTTTTTTTTTAAGTGACAAATTTGTTAAAAGAAACTTACACCACAATCAAAATGAATGATACTATAAGGTTTTTTTTTTTTTTCATATATTAAAAATATAATAAATATATTTTTTGATAATTAAATTTTATAAAAAATAAAAATGAATTTTTAATTTATTAATCGATTAACTCTACGTACCATTAATATTAAAATAAAAATGAGCTTTTGTATTTCTTTATGTCAATTAAAGGTTAAAAACTGAATTGAATTTTTTTTTCTTTTTTTGGTAATTTCCTTTATGTTTTTCCAGCTATCCTCAGATATGGCTTCGGCAATTTTTCTCTTTGGTAGGAGGTGACGGTTTGTTTGTTCTTATTTAGTGGTTTTGCCTTCTTTTTCTTTGGTTTTTTCACCCAGCTGACAGGCGCGGATGTAGAATGAAAGCATTCTTTGTCTACGGGGTCTATAATAGTATCCTACCAATAGTTTGTTGGTTAAATTAAAAAAAATTGAGTTTCTTTTAAATGAAATTTTAAATTTAAATATTATGAATGAAAAAATAAATGTTAAAAGAATATTTAATGTGACTTAATTTTAAATTAAACAAAACTCGATGTTAATATAAATAATAATAAGAATAATAATATCATACTAATATACCCTTGCTAGTTTAGGGCAATTTGTTAGAGGGGTTGTTTTCAAGAGAGGCTTTGAAGGAGTTGAGCGTAAATGAATCTGGATTGGCGCTCGAATTCCATTAAGTGCTGTTGGTGGTAGTGGGTTATGGTCTGGGGAAGTTGATGTTGATGGTGGTGGGACAAAGCTTTTTGGGTTTCATGGTTGGGATGTGGACGGGTCTATGGTGCTGAGCGCGGAGTTCCTTTGTACTAGCCTTCCGATCGCTGGTTGGGAGAGAGGTTCTGCTACTGCAGATAATAGGAGAGAGATTGTTGGGGGATGCAATAGGAGGTCTGAGATTTGAGACTTTCAATTTTATTTTATTTTCCAATTGGGCTGGTTTCCTCTTTATTGAAATGTGCTACGATTTCGAAAAGGACTTGTCTGGGAGTATTAAATGTATTTTTTATATATTAATTTATATAAAAAATAAAAAAAATTAATATTAATTTTAATATTTATATTTTATGAATTTTTTATTAAATAATTGATAAAATTAATATTAGTTTTTAATTTTATTTTGTATATTAATGATAAAAAAATACAATAAAAATATTCTTATCTTGTATCCACACAAGAAAGAAAAACCTTTAGAAAATGAAAAATAATTTTAAAATAATTTTTTTTGTATAAGATAACCTGACGTATTATTTAAATGATTAATTTTTTTATTTATGTGAAATTTATAATATTAAATACATTTATTTATTTAATAACATATAAAAATTATATCAAAATATAATATAAAAAAGTTTTTCTATAGCATATTAGCACCCCCTCTTAAAAAATTATGAAAGGAAAGAGAGGAATACAATTAGTCAAGAAATTTTTTATTTCATTTGGAGCAAATCTTTTTAATTTAATTTGAGTGTAGGTTTTTTTTTAGGATGCTTGGGCTAATTCAAATTGATATAAAACTAGAATAATAATTCTTTTTATGAGAAATTTATAGGGATTTAGAAAGGTTCATTTATGATGCGCGTATTTTTTTTAATACCTTAATATCTATAAAATTTTTTATAAAAAATAAAAAATGTATTTATTGTAAGTTTAAAGTTACATATTTAAAAAATCTATAAAACACTTAGGAAAATAATTTAAAAATCAAAATGAATGGTGTAGTACATCCTAATAATTTTTTTTGGTACGCGTAGCATATACTATTAATATTTTTGATGATTTGTAATCCACCATTTAAGAGAGAGGAGAATAAATTTTTTGTTTTCAAATTGGAAATTAGTTTATTTGATACGAATTTCATCGCAATCCTCTAGGTATATACAAAAACAATCGATCAATATATTATAGATCTAACAATTAAATTATTGATTCAAGTTTAATAGACTTAATTTTTTTAATAAAATAGAGATGTAAAAAAAAAAATAAGTACATTAAATAACATCTTAAAAAGAGAAAATGAACAACTAAATTAGCTCTATTAAAATTGAACTAATAGAGTAAATCACAAATTCTTATTTTAAAAATTAAGAAGAAAATAATGCTAAAATATCTTCTTCTTTTAAATATGAATTAAATTATTTTTAATTTTTTTAATAGTATCTTATTAAAACAATATAATTTTAAAATAATTATTTTTTTAATTTTTAAAAAATAAAACAAATAAATACTAATCCTCTCTTATAAACCATTCTAAAATTAATTAATGTGGATAAGACAACCTATTCAAGTTCCGAGACTTTTACCTTAACTATTAGGACAAGTATTTTTGCAAAAGACAAATCTAAAATGATAGTAAAGTAAAGTAGTGTTACATATATATATATATATATATATATATAAAGTTATTTGTTCACTGATTGTACAGGATTTAAATCCCAACATTAATCTCAAATTAAGGTGAGTAGCAATTCGAAGGATAAAGCAGTATAATGCTTGCAAAGGTATGGAAAAAGTAATTGCTTTCCTTCTCCAAAGATACGGTAACAATAACTTTCCATTTTGGTTGCCAAAATATGAATTTTCAAAAATTATACGCTAAATACCATCCTTTTAGATTTTTTTCCTTTTTGAGAAAAGGAAAAGATTTGCTTATAATTGGCACATAGGATTGTAAATTACAATAATAATATGATATTAAATGAGTAAATATATGTAATATCATATATAATTTTTTTTTCTAACGATCTAAATAGTTTAATGATAATTTTCTTCTACTAAAATTAAAAGATATTAAATTTAACTCGCATAATATGTGAGTTGGGTAAAATAAGGGATAGGAGAAAATTACCTTCTGTTGTGCAACCAATATATATAAAAAAAAAATTTCTCTTTTTTTTTTTATAGAATCACATATAATGTTTTTATTAAATAAGTTAATTAAATAATAATGCATAATATTGTAACCATAACATTTTAGTTTGAGAAACAACTTTGCTCCACTTATAAAAGTTAGGAGAATGAATGTTTTTTTTTTTTTTTTTTTAGTTTGGATTACATAAAAAAATATAATTTAAACTATGAAAGTATCAAAATCACCTAATGAATCTTAGTATTTAGCGAGGAAATTGAGTATTCATTGGCAGATTTGTATTCATTTTACCTAAGAAGTATGAGCTATGATTGTTTTTTTTTATTTCTCGCCTGGTATCCGGAGCTTCGCCCCCGACTAATCCAGACTCGACCCGCATCGCGTACTTGGAAATGGTGAATGAATCTCTCAACGAAAGTTGCTGCATATACAAAATCTCAAACTCGAGACTTTGTTTAAACTCGAGACTTTGTTTAAACTAGAACAAGCCGCTTACCACTTGATCCAATCTCTCGTTGTTATGAACTATATTTGTAGAAGGCCTCGATTACCATGCTTGTGGTTTAATAAAGTTTTTAAAAATCTAAAAATCCTAAAATATAGTATACTTGTGGTTTAGTATGAACCACTAAATAAGTTTAAATTTGCTTTGAAGGAAGTTTCAAAGTATAATATTGTTCTTCAATTCAAACTCAAAAAATAAAGGGAAAATTCTATTAAAGTGGCTTTAGTAAAATTTTCATTCAAATTAAGGCTAAGTTTTATGGTTTGCATAAGTAAAAATGCTTTAATTAAATTCCTAGTATTAAAGTCTTTTAATACTCTTTTTTGATAAATAATTAAAATATTATATACTTATTAATTTTAATTAAATAAATATTAAAATTAAAAAATAATAATAAGCAAAACTCACCCTATCTTTTCTTTTATTAATTTGATTAATGATTTTATTTTAAAACATGGACATAATTCAAAAATTCAATTTTAATTATCAAATTTTTGATTTTTTTTATTAATACAATTCATGCAATTAACCAAATTCTTTTATTTCTTAAGTAAAAAAATATTTTTATTTTTAATCAATAACCAAAGTGAAATATTTCAATTAACTAAATTTTTAATTGTATTAACCAAACCAAAAAAACATAATTTTAAATATCAAGTAATTTAAAATTGAATAAACTATATTCATCTCTAATGATAAACAATATAGTGAAAGAAATGAAGAGAGAGTTTTTATTGTCATTTTTTAATTTTATAGTAATTTATTTAATTAATATCAATTGATAAAAATTTAATATTTTACCTATTATACCATAAAAGGATATTATAAGTATTATAATAATTTTTGATACATTTATAATAAATTTTATTAAAATATTTTCACTTATAAAAAATTTAAAATTAAATTTTCACTAAATAACGAAAAAGAATATAATAGAGGAATTTTCTCAAAATAAAAAATGTTTGTACCTATTGATAAACTCTATAAATGTCCACTTTCATCCTTCTTTAATCAGTTTGAAGGCGAAAAGGTACTAACTAGTATTGAGTCATTTCCAACAAAGACCAACGTTTTTCTTACCAGTGTAAACTAGTAAAAACATTTCCAATTTCTGGGAGAAACAGGAATCCAGACATATTTGCAAACCTCCAGAGATAAGAACATCAAATGAGGCCGAAAATCTTCTTTTGATGTTGGATAAAACAACCTTGGATATACAAGCTACTAGTTTATGAAACGTTACAATGCTATCTGAAATTGGTAGCAAAGCATCACTCTACCTAAAACTAATAAAATACAATTTGCCACTGTCAACTATAGAACACATCACTTATCAGTTTCACTAGCTGCCAATCCTCGGAGAAGGTTCTAAGTCTAATGCTCTCAAGTTAAAAATTGAGTTATAGGTCAGGCTGAGCATACAGATTCCCAATGATAGAGAGAATAATTACAGATGACCAAAATGGTGGCTGACGTGTCCATGCCACCTTAGTAGTAAGTTCCATAATAGGCCTGAGGGGCTGATGCGGGTTGCTGAGCTGGGTTTAATGTCGGGGCAGCAGCTGGCTGTGCATAGCTTTGTTGGGGGTAGCTCTGCAAAAAGTCACAATCATGTTCAGCTCAAAGTTAAGAGAGAATCCAATAAAACAAGAAAATGGGTTCGCTTCCCTTTTAAAGCTGACTGTCATTCATACAGAACAAAATTGAATTTTGATTTTGGCATAAGAATCCCTTAGTGGCAACACATTCTTTTAAAAGCAATATGAACTGATTATAGAATAAAAAATCTAGATTAAGAATCTCTCAAGCCAAAACTCATGCCATATTTTGGTGTCAAGTTTTGCAGAGCAAATGCCTGCACTTCCCATCAAGTGCATTTTATGAGAAACTTTGACTTGACTTTAGAATGATGTATTTACACTTATTCTTACTTCTGAATCCCAAAAAAAGAAAAAATTTCATTTACATTCACTCTCCCTTATTTATGATTTCTAAGTCCAAAAATACATAATCCGTGCCCTTAGAATAGAAACAATCCCAGACACCATCTTTTGCAACTAAAAACTAAGAGCATAGAAAAGTTTTGCATAATGAAACAGGAAGAAGACAGATAACTGAGATGTCAGTGTAAATAGTTTTCCTCAACATGCATAGGACATTCAATGCATAAAGCTTTTAAACTGCTATCCTGCTAGCAGTTAATTAAGGAGAGCAGCAAACTTAAAACTCCCAAATATTTTGACTTATACCAAAAGTCCAACACAACATTAAAAAGTGATCATTATATTACTAATCCCCAAACCTTACATGTACCGGAACCAAAATAGGAGCTAGAAGCTTAGCTACCTTAGAAATTCATACCTGAACAGGATATGTAGAAGAATAAGCAGCATAGCCAGTGCTTGGTGGCACTGATGTGGGCACTTGTGGAGTAACATAATTGCCACCATAACTACCATATGCGCCATATGCAGCCTAAGATCCAAAAATTTAAAATTAGCAACTGTGAAATAAAGTATAAAATTTTGGCTGATGGTTCAAATTGGCATTCCTATAACTTAGAACTAGATAATGTTTCACTCCTGGAGTCATGGTTCTAAGATCACAACCCCAATATAGAGGTACTCTAAAGGCACAGACCCTTCTGAATCATCACCGATAAGAAAAAGTCCCAGATATCCCAGAAAACAATCCAAATCACGTTTCAGAAAGAAACAAGGGTAATAATACACTCTAGCAGACCATAATAAAAAACCATAGACTAGCTTGTCTCATCACTCAATATCAAACAGAGCATATATTGGGAAACTACCGGTTGGCTATATCCAGGGGCCCACTGTTGTGCCTGTGTTGTAGATGGCCAAGTTTGAGGCTGTACACCATAAGCAGCAGGCCACTGGTTTTGAGCATTGGGATAACCACCCATCAAAGGCTGGGCAGCAACAGGGGCACCAGGGTAAGACTTTGCCAATTTTGTCTTATCCGATGCTAGAAAATCTTCTGCATGACGTTTCCTTAACTCTGATATTGGCTTGTGAGGTAAAAAGAACTTGGTATGCCGATCTTCTGCCTTCTTGATATACTGTATATCTCCAAAGAGACCCAAGAACTGCAAAATAACTTGCATAAAAAATTTTAAAGACACAGAAACATCCTTGGACAAAGAGGAGAAAATTCTGATGATTTCCATTGTTGAACCCAAACATTACAGTGGCTAATTATTTGTTCCATAAACAAAATAATAATAATAATAATAATAACAATAATAATAATAATAATAAAAAGACTGGTTATTTGTTCCATAACCCAAAAACCCCATATCTTTTTAATCACCATCAAGTATCAACTACAGAAGCCTCCAAGGGGGTATTTCAACTGGTAACGACTTAAGACTCCAAGGGGGTAGCATCAAATGTATCAAGAGAAAAAAAATCAACTATTGAAAAGTGATTAAGAACATCAGAATTCAAAGCGGGCCTCACGTGTTCATATTTTCTTCTAACAAATTAAACATGTTCACAATTCACAATTCTCTCTTGAAGAAATTACCTCCATGAAGATGCCTGATATGTCTTCCTTGTCAGCAGTGCTTGCAGTTGATGGGTTATCTGAGCTAGGCACTAAAAATTTGTCAACCAAAGAATCTAAGTAATCAATCCGCCTAGGAGGTGGCAGAATTGTTTCAGAATGCATTAATGCCTGCAGGTAAAGCAAAGACAAAAAGCAAGCAGACATTAAATAATGCATGTCGCTGTTCAAACATATCCTGGCAAGCAGAAATTAAAAACTTATCAACCACAGCAGCTAACCTCAAGAAATGGTTTTGACAGTTGGACATGCTCCAGGGCCCCAAATAGAATCTCCCTAGCCTTCTCTGCATTACCAGAGATCTACAGGGAAAGAAAAAATAAGTAGGATTTAACAAGATCTCCAAATGTACAACTAATCCTATGTGGTAAACTTCATGACTTGCATAAGCAAAAGTTGATTTTAAGGAGAAAAGGAATTAAACATAAATCAATAAATCATGAGGAACTGGATATGTGAAATGCCTGGCCAACACCTACCAAATATAGAAAACGAGAGTACTGGGCATACAACATTGGTAATGTTTGAGATTGCTCTTTCCCTTTTTCAATGGCGATAGCTTGCTCATACAAAGAGAAGGCATCTTCAAGATTCCCCTACATAATCAACATGAACAACCAATTTAAAATATGCAAGCAAAATAATGTCAACTGAAACACCTAATGCTTGACTACATAAGCTTACCAGACGATGTTCCATATTTGCATGCTTTATAATTGCTTCAACAAGGCCAGGTGAAATTTCAGTATGCACAAGTTGATAGGCAGCACGAGCACCTTCAACATCCCCATTCTGCTCTTTGAATCGAGCAGCAAAAAGGTGAATCTCCAGTTGCCTCTGTCAAAAGATTGGTACCAAACAAATAATGAGGAACTTGGCTCAAACTACACTTCTTTGCAAATGAATACTAAAATTTCAGAGAACTACAATTAAAATTTAAAAGAATTGAAGAATACCAACAGATCTACTAATTGATAGGTTTGATGTAACACAAGTTAAATTCCCTTGAACAAAGCAGTAAAGCATAGACGATGAAGATGAGGAAAAATAAAAAAAAGATACCATGTTAGCTGAAAAACAATGTAAAAACTACAAATATGTTCAGTAGAACCAATATGAACCATTAATTTGTTGGTAGAACCAGGCCATAAAGTATAGGCAACCTCAAATGAAACCCATATTACAAGACTTGCATCTCAGCAACATTTTCATTTAATTCCCAACTTTATAAATACCAAAGTTCATACCTTGACAAAGGCTTGTGTTGCACGAGCAAGAGCATTATCTGCAAGATCCTTGCTTCCTCTTGCTTCCATACATAAAACATAACGTATCCAGTACTCAGGATAATTTGCACAGGCAATTAGGCACCTTTCATATAACTTTACAACCTATTTGACAAAGGAAAATATATCAGATTAAAAAGTTTATGCTGATACACAAACATTAACCATACAAATAACAGAAAGCACAAAGGAGAAATTGCATCAGAAATAATACTACATGATCAGGAACAGAGGGGACCCTCACATACCAAAGGAGGGACCCTCCTTGCCAGACAGATAGATGGTTAGGAAGACAAAACAGACCTCCATGCATAACATTTGAACCTTAAAAGGAATAAAATTGACCATCAAATATACATCAGGAACCTAAAAAGTTCACTGCAAAATGAGGGTTTAAAGTACTTAGCCTTAAAGAAACCAAATGGAAGGTCCATGCTTTAGTCTCAGTTCATTTTCCCGATAAAAAAGTTGCTTCATCAAATGATAAGCCAATAAAGCAAATGATGCAGCAGATATTACTTAACTGTAAGTCAATATATAACAAACAGGACAGCTAAACACTACAAACCATAAATTTATTTAAAGATAGATAGACAAACTCAAATACCTTGTTAAAGTCACCCTCCCTCTCTGTAAAATCCAGATAGTTATGCCAATTTTCAAGCTCAGCAACATTGAGGGGTCTTACATGGAAGTAGGGCCTCCTAATAGTTGTTTCAAAACCAATGATCTTAGAATCACACTCTTTAGCTATCTTATACATCTCTTCTCTAATGGCGATATACTTCTCCAACTCCTCTGCTTCTGTTAAGCCAGCACTTACAGGTTTGGAAGATTGTTCTGCATCCTCAGGAGAAACCTCTCCATTGTTTTCTTGTCCACCTGCCCCTGAAACTGCAACCCCAGCAGCTCCCTCAGCAGTCCTTAATTCTGACAAAGGTTGACTTCCAGCTAACTCTTTAAAACTGCAAAAGGATTGGCACTATGATATTAAAAATTTCAGCAAGACGATTGAGATGACAAATGTCCACCATATATACATTAATATTAGCAGATGCACCAGAAACATTTAAAAACCATAAAATTACCATCCATGTGAAGCATGTTATTTGATCAGTCGAATCTTTTAGACCTAAGACTTAACAATAAAGCTGAATGACCAGTAAAGAGCCTTATGTCATTGGGGGTTAATGGAGCTGCTCACATCACATTCTTTACTTAAAAGGCCATAGCTTCAGTTCATGCATGCCCATTCCAACAGGGAAATGAAACCATGAAAATACATACATTCAATGATAATGAAATGGCAAAATGAATGCACCAGCAGATCATTAATTCAACTGAGCACAAAAAAATAAATATGCACTAATAAAAAGATCTTACCCGTTGAAGTATTTATCCAGATGTTGAATTGGATTCTCTAATATCCGACTATATATCATGGCAAGTTGACCCCACTCCTGGTGCATATATTCATATTCAATATACTTATCCCAGAGAGGGAAAGACAAATAGTCAGTTCCAACATACTCTAATCCTCGTTCAAAAAGCCTGGAATAATGTGAAAAAGTAAAGTTATTAAAACATATATAGGTAAACCTATCCTGTGAATGCAGACACATCAAAGACAATGGGACCAATGTCGAAGGACAAGGAACAATTCACTCAGGACACTTCCAAACGCTGCATTTACCTTCCTGATAAAAACCATACTATGTCCGAAATGATGCAGTGATAGAGGCCATCTTAGCCCATAACTGGACGAGATCTTCCCAGCAGCATTTTGCAAATTGATTCACCTCAAGAGTGTCAAGGTTAAAGATATTTTCACATATAACTACATGACTATGACACAGATCTTGAAGAGGAGGTTGAAACAGGAGGTATAATGAGCTCAGACTTATAGTACAAGGCCTAACACAATTTTAGCTGCTACACATTTTATAGCATTAAAATAAGAGTTAACACAGGGCAAGGAAAACACATTTCTAAAGTGCATTCCATCAAACCTTTCCGCCAAAGTGTGAGGAACCACTGTTTCAGGCATATCAAAATAATGTTAGAAAGCAACAATAATTACCAGATACTTGAGACTAGGAAAATCATACAAACATGATCTCCTAATGCAGACTGGTAACAACAATGGGTACATGAACACTTATTACCTTCGAATTGTTTCAGGATCCCCATATGTTTCCATAGCAAAGGTACAGTAGAGCAACCAAATGTCAACTGAATATGTCACTCCCATAACTGCTCTTTCATAAACCTCCACAACCTTGTCCATTGATCCTAAGCGAGCTTCGTGGTCCGCATACTTTTTCCAATAACCATAGCACAAAGGAAACTCGGCCAAGAAAGCATCATAAACCTTTTGGATTTTGAGTATATTACTCTGCATACAAAGCGTGTGTAAGAACATCAGTGTCACAATAAAATTAACAATACTAGCTAGGTCAAAATCAAATGAAGATAGCGAAGGCAAATAGAAGGAGAAATTACTGAGTTTGATGATAAGGATGGCTTACATATCACTTCACTCTATACCCAACCCCAAAAACAAATTTTAATCTTTCAAATCTACCTATGCTAGTAGTATTAATATGTTCAAGTCAGTCGCAGTCAGATATCAATACTTGAACAAGAACAAAAAAAAATCAATATTCAGAAAAAGCAAAATGACACAATAGAAACTTTCTTCAATAGAGTATATGCCCAAACATACCTCTGCTGCCTTCTCTGTTTCTTCAATTAGAGCAGTCCATGCATTAAAATCCAAGGAATTAGCTCTGACAATACTCCACAAATGTTCTTCTTCACCAGACAAAGCTAGCACTAAAAGTTTAAAAGAGGGAAATGAGCATGAGACAATCTAGAAGAATATCACAGTACTTACTGTTGCATATTTATTTATCACATGAAATTAAAAAAAGGGGTAAATAAACCTTTAACAGAAAACTGGACACTTTTAAACCAAAATGAATAATGTTTTTAATTAAGAATTAAGAAAGAACTTGAGTATGGCAGACATTTAGTTTAGATAGGAAAAGGACGCCCTGGTCCCTGAGACAACATTAATTGTGGAGGTTTAATGAATAAGAGATTAGAGAGAGGGTTCATTTTGTTTACATGGATAAAGGTCTAGTCATGTGGATGTGGTGTGTAATTTGAGATTGTAACTGATAGAAGAATAAAAATGAAATATGACAGTCACTTCATAATATACTTATTTTTTGCCAAGATGCAGTTGGCATGCAATAAAGAATATAGAGGAAGGTTTTACTAAGTTCACTATATTGTTGATCAACTAAATTATAGATTATATGCTAGACCCTTTAGCCAGGGCATTCTTGCATAGGCACCAAGATAAGGTGACGCTAAAAGCACCTCATCCCTCACCGAAGCAGGGAGAATTGGATGATGTGCTCATCATCCAATTCCTAGAAAGCCAGGTAAAGGGCAAATGCCAGCATCTCATTAAAACAAATCTTTTTGTACTCCAATTTTGCAGGAAAGTTCAATCATTTAAGAGTAGTAGTGTTCAATAAGAAAACACAGATTTAGTCACTTGAAAGAACCAGTCATATTTTGCTACATTGGTGTTCATAACTTCTTGCACTGACATGTTAACAATAATGCCATTATCAGCTTCACGGAACACTTTTCTTGCACATAGCATACCTCACAGGAGGCAAATCAAAGTTGAAAAAAATTTCATAACTTAACAAATACATATCACATATCAGAGAATACATACCAGAACCATCTACAAAATCTGATGCACCAGAAGCTCCACTGACATTATCTAAAACATTTCCACTGACTACCGTTCCAACATTTACTGCATCACTAACACCACTCCCGTTCAAAGCCGAACCAGAAGCATTGCCATCAGTAGCAGGCTGACTTTCGTTGGGAGCAGAACTAAGATCACCAATATAAGCATTTTCTTCAATTGGTGCGGTATAAGATCCATCTGCTGGAATACCAGCAGCCTCAGATGAATATGCAACGGTACCAGGAACAGCATTCGACGCAGCATCAGCATAGCCAGTGGCGGCATAGCCTGCGGATGTATAACCCATCACCGCTGATGTTTTGGCAACCACTGTTTCACTATCTCCCGTACTTGATTTCAAGAAAACCTTTTGCCTAGAAGTTGAATTAAATCTACAAGAAATTAGATTCGGATTCAAACCTCCAAGCAATCCCTAGCCCAACGTCTAACAATAAAACCCTAAATTAGGTATTAGCAACCGCGAACGGAAGGCGGAGCTGGTGCTGATTACGAAGCAACAAAAACGGATGGAGACGTACCTGAGACGGAGAGACGGCGGGGTTCGAGAAAGTTCCGCATTCACAGAGCCTGCTCTTCGGGAGTGAACGGAGTATTTCGTAGCGTAGTTGTAGAGTGTTCTTTGAGTTTCGTTTCCTTGATGCGGTCGCGGGTTTGTCATGTAAACAAATCTGGGCCGTTTATGACCTGGGCCTATAATTTTGGATTATGCTTTCGCTTAGGCATTGAGCACCAATTGACTTTGAGCCCTTGAAGTTGATGACTTCGACGATTAGGCCCAAAAAGTTAAACAGAATAGGCACGTGTCTCACGTGCCCGTTTTTGTTTCATCTTGTCCAACACCTCTGCGCCACGTATTCCTCTTCTTACGCTTTTGGGATGCCACGCTGGCAACTGAGCGGGAAAAAACCCGCTCTTTTTTCTCGTTGGGCTCCGCAATGTTTTCCAATTGACTAAGAACAATAATACTATAGAAACAATATTTTTATTTTATTTATTGATATAATTTTTATATGTTATTAAATAAATATATATTTAACATCATAAATTACATATAAATTAAAAAAATTAATCATTTTACATCCTAAAGTCAACCTTCATGGTCCATTCGTCTCTCTTAGTCGTCCAGCGTCCGCCATGGCAAGTTCGAGCTCATCCGTCTGTTGCGTTGAGAAAGTTTGACAATTGGGAAGAAATTACGAGAGGTACATGCATTTCTGCAATTGTGAACTCAATGTAGCAGGAGTGGTGATGTCTTGAAGTTCGACGAACCCTGGACGGAGGTCTTATGCTTCCCAGTTTACAATCGGAAGGTGAGGCATGTGCTGTTTAATTTCTTCATTCTCCTTATTGTCTTTGCTATAAACTTTTTTCTCTTTTCCTGAGCAAGTTAGTGATTTGGGGATGCTAGACATGGCATTGAAACACCGAGAATGAGACTCAAGGATCAAGCCGAAGGTGGTATGGTACAAGTTCAGTTGTTGGAGAAGCAAATTAAAGATTTGCGGAATGAGTTGGCACTGGTTAAGCATAAGGTTGTGAAACGCAAGAGGTGTAAGCAATATGAACATTTTGCAATTGTGATAATATTGATCTGGGTTTTTTTATTTTAAGTGGTTATAAATGAGAATGGTATGAAATATGCGAAGGAGCTTGCCATGTGACGTTGAATTATATTGGTTCATTTTGGGAAGATCAATGCAGAATGGATAGGACTCATATGTACTGGCTTGTTATGAGATTGATTATTTTGGTGGTGATGTATGGTGGGTAGAAAATGCATTCGGCCAATTCTAATATTGTATTATGCTATGATTGTAATATGAATATGACAAGCATTCTATCAGAGGCTGAATGCAGTTAGAATGAGGGAACTTGGATTAAACAATGATGCTATATATCTAGTAGAAGAGAGAAATGGAGTATACGTATTAGGACAAGGACAATTGCATATTCAGTTGGTTTTTAGGTGCTCAATGCCCTTTTTTTTGTGGTAAATAACCATAAACATATATATCATACAAAAACAAAGAAAAATATCAAGGGGATCGAATTGAAGAAACTAGACCCAATAAGCATACGCAATATAAAATGGAGTAATAGAAGGTTGACAACCATCCTAGATACAAAAGGAGGGAACCAAAGAAGTCCTCATTTTTGCTAGTTAATCAGCACACATTACATCTACGCCCATCATGGACCAACTACGCATGAAAGCCTTGCAATCCAAACTAAGAGTACTCAAACAATGAAGAAAATCCGGTGCATTAGAGAGGAGCCAAATAGAAGTCTTCAAATCAGATTCAACAATTAAGTTATGGAAGCCTTTTAATTTGAATAGCATTAAAAAAATATTAAAAAATAATGGAATTAATCAAATAAAAAATGAGAGAATTATCAATTATATCACATGAGATTTAAACCTAACATTTAGGCATGCTTTCTAAAATCAAATTTCCTTATTTCCATATATCCCTTTAATATAATTTTTTATTAATCAAATGAGTTTTTGATATAGTTAACAAAAGATTTCGTTAATACCTTAACAAATTATAAACACTTAAGAAGTAAAATAACTAATTACGTTCATATGTGAAATAAGATAAAATAAAATGGTACTTAACAAATTTCAAATTTATAAGTGCAAAATTGGATGATCAATTTTTTTTTTAAATGAGGAATAAAGTAGAAAAAGATATTACCACCTTCTTAGGTTTTTCTTTAGCTTCCTAACTCGTTTGGAGATATGCTTCTTAGTTTTACCTTATTTTTCATATGTTGATCAAGTAATAGCCATTTTTTGTGTTGGACAAAAATTGTCCTTTTGATAGATACTACATTATCTCCACACCACACATGATTCACTACTTCTGGAATGTCCATCTTCCCTTTGGAGTTAATGGACCATCCAGTATAACCTTCTGCTACAACCTTCTCAACCTCCACTGAAAATCTTTTACGAAGTAATCTAGTCAAATCTTTCGAAGAATCATCTACCACTCTGTGACTTTATAAGATAAAAGCTTCAAAAGAACTTCACATCGAAGCAAGATAATTTGAAGACCATGTTTCAACATCAGTGCCCCATCCAAGTTAAAAACCTTGAGCTGACAAAGATTTTTTGCTATCAGCAAAGAATTGGCCCACCCAGTATGAATCGATAACGGGCCAAAGTTGAACCTAAACTACTGAAGCTTAATATACTCAAATTCCTGCAACTTTTACCAATTGATGGGATGAAATCATGTATATTACTTCTATCAATTGGTCCCAAGAATAGCTCTACCAATTCCTCCCGCTTTTGCATTGCCTTTATAATATCTGTTGCCCTAGTCTTGCCCAGACCTGGCAGTATAAGCCTTTTAAGCTTAGTGACTCTCACAAATAAAATTCAGATGCTTGTGATAAAAAGGCCGTCCTTAAGGAAATGTGATGGTTTAACACATCTTTGGTTGTGTTCTGCCACATTCCCATCCATAGCAAGTTGTAGTGCCGTTAGCAACTTTTGAGGATAGTCTTTGGTTTCAGCTTCATGTCGAAGGTAAAAGCTCTAAGTTGCTAAGATGATACAACTCATCATCATCATTCCAAAATAACATATCCATAGGCACTGATCTCCACCAGTGACAAACTGATGCTATGGAATGAAATAAATCTTTCCCACTTAATTAGCAATTTGAATATTTTTTGTAAAAGGTTATATTCGAGACTTCCCCCAACCTGCTAGTTCTATCATCTTCTCATCATCGGCAATGTTCATCAATTATGTTTCCATCCTATTTTTATCAATAAAAAAACTAATAAATTAGTAGAATTGCTAGTTTAGTTTTATAGCTTGGGAGTAATGGGAATCATTTATCCTTTTACCGTTAGGTTGTCTTTTGCTCTTGGGCAAGGTCCAGTCGGTGATGATGCAGAAGAGGCAGACTTATGTTGTCTACTATGGAGGGGGCAGTGGGAAATTAGTGGCAAGGGAAAGCAACACAGCAGGATGAGAGTGTGGTGGCAGTGGGCGGACAATGGCGGACATGCATTATCCAAGACGAAGGGGATGGAGACGTGGTGAGGAACAAGGAGGCTATGGAAGAGTTATTTAGGTTAAATGGGATTCTTTAAATAGGATTAGGTTTTTATTAAGGCCCGTCTGGTATAATATTTTTAGGGTAGTGTTTAATAATTTTAACTAAACTGTTATAGAATAAGTGTTGTGCAAATTTGTTAATCTCAAAATCGTTACAAATTATGTGTTTAGTAAAAATTTTAATTTAATAGTTTGTGATTAGAAGATAACTATTAAGGTTCAAATTATTAGCGAATTAAAAAAGTTATCTTAAGTAACTTTTTATATCAAATTGTTAGTAAATTAGAAATTTTTAAATTTTGTGACCATTCTTCATTTTAATTTTTTATTTTTTGCCACAATTTATAATTAACATTTATCTAATTGTTTTTAATTTCTTTTTTTTTCTATTTAATAACATTAAGTGATTATTATATTTTTATTTTTTTACTTTAATTTATCATTAAAAAATTTATATTAATTTAATAAACACAATTTGTTAATTAAACGAAATAATTAAAAGTTTGTTTTTTATTATTTAAAAATAATATAATTTTTTATTTATTAAAAATAGAAATGAGTGTGTGATTCACATTTCATATTTTATTTATTTTTACAAAATTAATAATTTTAATAATAAAAATATAAAAGGGAAAAAATACTTAATTGCTTTTAAATATGCTTTTATTAGTCATTTAATGTCAAATAGCAACTACTGACCATTAACTAAATGATTATATTAATAAAAATCCACTATCTACCATTTCTTACCCACTAATTGCTACCAATTAACTGTTGTTCGCTAATCACCACCCGCTATCTGCTATCCACTACTCATTACCTGTTATTTGTTAGATTTTAATCATTATATCAAATAAACCCTAAAAGCTATTGGGTATTGCAGTTTATATATGTCAAATGGCCCTAAGAGTTTTAGAAGTTTTTTACTATTTTTATTTATCAAGAGTTTAAGTCCTAAATAAATTAGAAATTTTAAATTTTAAGCTATAGTTCTATGGTTAGAGTAGGAGTTCTAACAAGAGTCCTTGTAGTTTATGTATAAATATACTTGTAACTTCTTTTGTTAATAGTTAATCCAATAGGAAAATAATTAGTACACACTCAATTTAACATACTTTTGACACTCGTCTCGGTTCAATTATTAAAATATAATGTAAGTATAGTTGATTCAACCAATTTTTACATCATGTATGCATGCGTGAATCTTTAAATTTGTTGCCTTCAAATTTAGACTAAAAAATAGTAATTTTTTAATGTATTGTGTAGTGTGTTAAACTAGAGTATGTACCAATTAATGTCCAATCTAATAGTAATTTTTTAATGTGTGTTGTGTAGTGTGTTAAACTAGAGTATATATCAATTAATGTCCAATCTAATATTAAAAAATTTGCAACAAAAGCTTTCTCTTGAAATTGTGAGATTGTGTGATGTAATTTTAATTGTGTGATGCAAGTAGCTTTAAGTGTGATGCTTAAGGGGTTTTATTCTCTTTAAGCATGATGTCTAAAGAAATTTAGTTGAATCCTAGAATTTTCTATCTCTCATGTTATTTTTCAAACTCTTTCTCCTTTTTCCTACCTTAAACAGCCACTAAATGTCTAAGCCCACCATACCCTGCTAAGCTGTTCTACATCAAGACCGTATATAGCTATTGGTATGGAGTAAGGATGGCAATTCTCCCCGCTCCCAGTGGGGCCCCGCGAGGATCCCCGTCACGGGGACGGGGCGGGGAGGAATATTCCTCCCCACGAGGCGGGGATGGGGACCATTTTCTCCCCGCGAAATTTCGCGGGGAATTTTCCCCGCCCCGTGGGGCCCCGCGGGGATCCCCATCCCCGCAAAAAAAAAAGTTTTTATTTTAAAATTAATTTATTCTTTAAACTCAAACCTAAACCCAAACCCAAATCCAATCCAATTACAATTAAACTTAACCCAATACTATCCAACCCAACTCCCAACCCAACCCACCCCATTCCCCTACATTTAACCCTAATCCTAATTTATTTTAATTTTCATCACTCTCACTCATGGTCTCACTCTCAATCTTTTGTCTGTAGCTCACCCATCTTTCACCTTCATCTCACCTTCTCAGTTTCCTCTGTTGTAGCTACTGTTGAATCCATCTCCATTGCTATTTCCAGATCCATTTGCTCTGCTGTTGCTGCCAAAGACATTTGCTTTGCTGCTATTGCTGCTGTTGCTGCTGCTGCTGCTGCCGAAGGCATCTGCTCTACTGCTGCTGCCAAGGTTGTCAAAATCGAGATTTTACCTAAAATCGTTTTTGTTAGGTAAAATCGAAATCATAAAATCGAATTGGTAAAATCAAGATTTTACTAATTTATAATAAAATAATATAAAATTAAAAATTAAAGGATGAAATTCACAAAAAAAATCAATAAATCTAACCCAAACCCAAATATTGAGCCCAATAACCACTTTCACAAACTAACCCATTAAAACCCAAACCCAAACCCAAAAAACCCAAACCCAAACCCAAAAAACCCTAGTTTTCCTTTCTCTTTAAAAGGGGGAGCCACCGAGCCACACCAAAAAAGAGGCTGCAGACGGCAAAAAAAAAAGAAAAAGAAAAAGCTGGATTCTTCTCCCATCCAGAACCCCTTTCTCAAATTTTTCTCTGATCAATAGCTTCCACCTACATCACCGGTCATCACCTGATTCTTCTCCCATCCAAAATCCCCTTTCTCCATTTTCTCCGATCGTCGGATCCCTCCTTCAGATCTGGATCTGCCTTTCTCCAAAATTTCCACCTTGGGTGTTTTTGTTTCATATTCTGCAATTTCCTGATGTTTGGTGCTTAAATTTCTGCCTTGGGTGTTTTTGTTTCATATTCTGCAATTTCCTGATGTTTGGTGCTTAAACTTGTATGAATTTGCTAAAAGTGAATGATATTCAGTGATTCGTTGCTTGTATGAATCTGCTCTGTCGCTGGCCTGCTGCCGGACCGGATCCATCTGCTTTGCTGCCGCTAGAGTGATTTGCTGCTGCTACGAAGCCATCTGTTGCCATCTGCTGCCATTGCTATTGCTGCCATTCCCCGCGGGGAACGGGGACGGGGGCAAAATCTGCTTCCCGTAAAAAATCCCGGCGGGGATCTCCGTCCCGTGACTCACGGGGACGGGGATGGGGAAGGGGTCCCCGGCCCTGCAGGGCCCCGTTGACATCCCTAGTATGGAGTAGAGTTGTGTTTATTTGTAATAGGTGTTAGGGTTTTTAAGGTTAATTTTGTTATCCCTAGGACACTTTGATTGTAAACACCAAATAAAAAGGAAAATTCAAGAAAAAATGGAATTAATACCTCTTTAATTTGCTTAATAGCTTGTTTAGTTTAAGAGAAAGGGATACATTTCTCCATTTGAATAGTAAAAATTAAGGGAAGGGAAGGGGAAGAGCTTCATTTTAATTTTCTTTATAATTTTGGTATAATCCAATGGTGGAGATAAGGAGCAGAAGCCCCCTAAAATATTGAAAAAGTTATGATAAAATTTTAAAGTTAAAAAAATTCAGTATATATTTTCTTCCCTTAAATAACTAAATAAAATATATTTAGTCGAACATTTTAAATTTTAAAAGAGAATAAAAGCTATACAACCCACCACTATACTTAATTTTTTGTTGGTAATTAACTTAATTAAAATTTTTTAAATTAAAATCTAGTGGATAATAATATATTATACTTCAATATTTTATTTTTTGGACAAAAGCCACTTTTCAGTTGAGTTCTTAGAATTTCTCTATAAACTGTAGCTTATAGGTAATACTCTAATATTTTCGAAAAAAAAAAAAACTTATTGTTTCTATTAATTTTTGAAAATTTATTATATTGTAATCTACAACTATTGTTTTGTGGTAAATCCTAAATTGTTTTTTAGGTTATTAACTTAATTTGTTAATTGTTAATTGATTCTAAAAATTTATTATACTATTACTAGAAAACTTTATTCTAAAAATTTATTATACTATTACTAGAAAACTTTAAATTTCATATTTTTGAATTGTTAAGTTTAGATTTTAGATTTTACTGTACTATTGATTTAACAAATATATTAAAAGCACAATTGCAAAAGACTAGAGTAAAACAGGCCAATAAGGCCATAAAATAACATATTAACTATTTTTTTTAATTGGTGGTGTGAGTTGAAAATTCGAAAAAAGCAAAGATTTGTTTTTAAGCAGTGGCGCATGGTGACTATAAAATAAGTTTTTTGTACTTTTATTTTGTTTTGAAATTTTTATTATATTATGTCAATTGATTTTTTTTTTTTAATTTTAGGATTTGGATGATTTTGCATATTGAGTTTTAGAGATCGGATTTGAATAATTTCATTAAAAGAAACAGTTGTAATTCCTTCTTTTTCTCTTCTATTTTATAATCATTTTTATAGTTAATACTTTTGTATTGTTATTTTTGCATTTATGCATTGATATTGTGGCTTGTGCCCCCTCTACCTACAAATCCTGGCTATGCCACTGGTATAACCAAATAAGGAAAAAGAATGAGAAAGAATCATTTCCCTCAAACTAAACAGAGTAAAAGTAATTATAGTTTTTATTGGGTCTTTATATTGGTTGAGGGCTTTGGAACCTATTCAAACCCTCATCGGGGAGAGGGTGAGGAGGGAGAATGAGGGTTCAAACCAAAGTTGTCAATATTGTACCGGTGTGTGTATTGGTTTTGTTATTGAAACAGTATATACCGGATACTGAAATTTTTCGCGTACCGTTTCAGATTTATCGCTATAAATATATATGTTTATAAAAAAGATAGACATTTTATAACAGATAGAATATTAATTAAATTTTAATATATTTAATTTTTAATTTAGGGTATTTAAATTTACTTATTCATTTTAAAATACCATATATTATTTTTTGTACTTTACCTTTATTTTAAAAAGATAATTACAACATATATTAAATAAGAAGATTTATTAAAATAATTATTAATTAAAAATAAATATTAAATCTTATCAATTAATTATTACATTTTTATTTTATTAGATAAAAAAATTAAACTTCTTAAAATTAAACAGAAAGAATAAATAATTAAAGTAGATAGTGATTATAAATTTACATTATTTCTTATAAGTATAATAATTTATTCTTCTTAGATCTATTTTAGGAAAAGGACTGCGAGAAAGAACTTATGTAAGCTGTGCAAAAAGGGTTAATTTGCAACTATGCAACGAGTTAAGGGTTGATTTGTGTCTATTTTTAGTTGAGGGGTTAATTTACCATCATTCACTGAGTATAGGGGTTGATTTGCCACCATTCATTGAGTACATGGGTTGATTTGCCACAATTCATTCAATACAGGGGCTGATTTGCCATTTTCCTTTTTTTTTTTTTTTAGATTTGAATTGTGTTGATTCAATTTCGCTGTACCGGCTAGTACATCAAATTTCGACTAGTACATCGAAATTTGACCGAAATGTTTGATATTTGACCTAAACGAAATTCAAATCCATACCATTTCAGTCAATTTACAAAATCAATACGTACCGACCGTACCGACAGCACGAAACGATACGAACAACTATGGTTCAAACTCTAACTATATGAGTGAGAAAGTGCTTTTTTGCTAAAAGTTTAGCCAATTACTCAATAGACATTCCTCACTTATTCAAATTGTTTATTTGAATTTGTAGACCTATGTAATAATATCAAGCCTAATAGAAATGGTGACAATCATTTATGCCTTGTATTTTTTAGGTACATCAGATGGACTAGATAATCGAGAATAATTCTTCCCCTCTTAAATGCCACCTCCATCTATCTCATGACTCGAATTTGAGACATCTATTATGAAAATTCAAATTCTTAATTGCTAGAAGGTTTCCTTAGGAACATTTATGTTCTATATGCTCTCTATTTCTCTCTACCAATTATAAAGTTTTTTCAAGTTTCCATAAAAGAAGGGTTTTGTCTAATATGTGCACTTAAAATACAATAAATGCAGCATTTTATAATTACTTTATATAAACAAGTATAAAAGTTTAGCTTTATTTTAACATAAGTAACATGTAGAATATTTTTTGTTGACTAATTGATTAAACAAAAATTAGCATTTACATTTTCATATAAACTAATTGTGTAAAATAATGCATTTATTACATTCTTAGGGCATATATTCGAAAATTTTTTTTAAAAAAGTAAAAACTTTGTCATGAAAAGAGTACAAATATAATGACTAACACTAATACAAAATGTCCCCACGGGCAACGTCTTAGTGGCTATGGACCTCCAAATTTGTATTCGAACTACATAAATTCATGTTGCACACCTAGAGTTTAAGATTTTGGCTTTTCTTAGTCATTCAGTTGTCTATTGAAGTCCGTCCATTAGCCTCTATCAGTTAAGTGTCGATGTAGCCATATTTTTGTTAAAAATTAAACACATAGAATTTACGAAGTGGCAAAAAGCATGACATGGCCAAACAAAAAAAATATATATCATACACTTAGTTTCTCTTTTCCTCGTTCAATCTTTGCAACTTATCTCATTCAACACCATAGGTCATCAATTTGCAATCTCTTGGCCTTGTCAAACTTTTATCTCTTTACTTTTTCTGGTTTCCCCTATTTTCTTAGGAAATCTTTTTATCATTTTCTTGATCCTGAACATAATTCTTTCTTTATATGAAAATCCCAAACCAACTATAAGAGATCAAGAGTGACACTGTCTTTCGATCAAGTAGTCAATTTTCTTACAGGTAGCTAGATTGATTAGCGACAGGTAGATGAAGAACTTTTTATGATTTGAACTTTGAAGGCAAAGGAAATTTGAGTAATTTGATAAGATTGCAATGAGATAAAACACTCAAGGTTTTAAATTGTTTATAAATTGGCCAATTCTACACTCAAGTTAGATTAAATGTTAAATTTAATTCCTAAACTATGAGTTTTGTATATTTTTTATTCCTGAGCTATTTTTAGTTTCCTTTCTTTCAAATCTACACAAAATCATCCTTCTAACAATGGAGGTCCACATGGGACATATTTTCCATTAAGAATTTTTTTTTTAATTTTGTGTATTGTATAGAAAATAAATAATATATTTTTGCTTATATGGATAGATTGAAAATTGATGTGGGCATATTAATCTTATGAAATGAATTTTAGGACCTATTCACATAAATTTTAATGATTTAATAAGTCAAAATATTTTAAAACTACACAAATACCCCTCCCAACTTCATCTACCTCGATCCCCTTTTCTCTTTTCTTGTTCATCATCCTTAACTCCGACATTCTCTTCCTTTATTTTGTGCCTTTTTCCTCCTTCCTCCCTTCTCTAGAGCCCATTTCTCTTCCTAACTTTTCTCCTCCTCGCCCTTCCTCTCTATTGTAGTTCCTTCCACCAATCTCACATCTTTGTAGAAAATGTACGTCTATAAAAATTTCTCCATCATCTCCAATGGCTTAATCTCTTATCGATTCAATAGAAGTTTAAGCCAAATCTTTCGGCACCATGGGTTCCATGGGTTCAATGGAACCTGGATCTCTAAAGTGCAGGTCTTGCAGGATCTAAAAATGAGAGCAACACTTATAGAAATCATGATTACTTTGAAGCCATTACAAATAAGTGCCTTATTACATCTGTAAGTAGTAGTGATTTCTAAGTTTGATTTCCAAGCCAAACTGATTTTTCATTTGTTTTTCCTTAACTGCAATTTCTCTTAGTTTTTTCTGTGCAATTTTGGAATAATACCAAATTTGAAAAGTATTTTGTAAGGAGAGGCTTAGGGTTTATATGGGATTTTGGTTGATTTTGTTTGGATTTGTCTATTGGACAAAAATTGGTTGATTTGAGGAGAAATGTGATATATAGTTTTATATGTTTTGATCTATTGAAATTGGATATCATAGATTTGTTTTCTAGTTTTCATTGGCCGATTGAATTTTTTGGGTTTTTGAGCTCATCAAGAAAAAAGACTTATAGTTCTACCAGACCTCAAACATTCATCGAGCAAGTGGACCTTCCCCTTATGATTAACATTATATTAAGCATTAATTATATAATTATTTAATAATTTAATTATCTTTTTAAAATTAAATAAAAATTAAAGTACCTTTTAAAGAGCATTTGTTTATTACTTAGTATTAATAAAATTTTATCATTTATTAAGACTATGGGATCCATTTTGTTTAATATAGTACTTTATGGTCATTTAAAAGGAAAATTATTCAAAAACAATTTTTTGTACAATTTTTTATACAATGTTACATATTATTTAATTATTAGCTTTAGCTTTTTCCATTTAATTAAGATATATAATATTATATATATTCACTTATTTAATAACATGTAAAAATTGTATAAAAATATTGTACAGAAAAATTATCTCTATAACATTATCCCATTTTAAATTGTTTCACTTAGTAAAATATCATAAATATAAATTTCACATCTTTCAAAGTTAAAAATATAATCCTACGTGTAAATTTTATAATGGCAAAATGTGCCAATATCATCTTTCGATTGACAGAAAGATATTTTTTTGTGTAGATTTGTGAGGAAAAGAACTAAAAAAATGTTAAAAATAGTTAAGTCACTAAAAATGTGGAAAACTTAAAGTTTAGGGACTAAATTTAGAATTTAACCTTTTGGGTTTTGATTTTGAGATTTAATGATACAAGCGATGTTGCAGGTATTGCTTAATCACCCCTTCCATTTTTATTATTCCCTTGGATTCAAAGTTCTAAAGGAATTTGAGATTCGGTCCAATTTTTTCTTCTTAGTTTTTTTAGTGTTTTTGTTGTTATTTATATATCTTATGTTGGTAAATATTGTTTTTACTTAATCTAAGATAATTCTAAAGAATTTCATGTACTTCTACTTTTTCTAATAAATCATAAAATATATTGACTTTTACAAAAAAAAAAAAAAAGGTGTTTGGGTAGCTTCGCAATCCAACACTATTGAAGTCATCGGCTACTTCTACACCTGAAAATCCCAAAAATGTTTCCTAGGAGAAAACACTCCGACGCTTAAGTCAGTAATACTCAATATTCTAAAGAGAGATGCTCTCAAGGAGTAATTGTAGAGAGAGAAGCTCTCAAGGAGTAATTGCAGAGAGAGAAGCTCTCAAGGAGTAATTGCAGAGAGAGAAGCTCTTAAGGAGTAATTGCAGAGAGAGAAGCGTAGAGATTAATTACCTTCATCGGAGGTAGTTGGGGGGCATTTATAGCCCCAAGTGTTGACATGCATCTGTACATACATGCATCTGTACATGTAAGCATCTCATTGGTCCACGTGGCGCTGTTCACGTGGGTATGTTTATATTGGTGCTCCCTTACTTTGGGCTAATGGGTGTCAGCTTAGACCCATTACGTTGGGCCTATTCCAACATTACTCCCCCCTCAATGTTCAGTTGACGAACTGAGTTGGATGTGTGTATGGCCCAACGTTTGAGCTGGTGATTGAGAAGGACAGCCTTAGCAACTCGTGCTCGACCTCGTTGACGGCCGATTTGAAGGATGGCACCAAGTAAGACAAGCTCGAGAGCCTGAAAGTCTACATGCAGGCTGGTATCCGCAGCCTAACTAGCTTGGGCTCGGTATATCGGCGGGCTGAAGTGGCTCACAAAAGGTGAACTCGCCCAGCGAACGACCATGCACTCAAATTTAAAGTGTTACTCGCTATTCCAATGAGCTCGTCCACGTTGACATAAACGCGAGTGAATGTGTAGCGACCTGAAATAGTGTCAAAGGCCTTGAAGCGACTAGGTGATGCTCACTTGAACAGAGTCATGAGCTGAGATGAAGCGACCTCAAAATCTGTGATCTCTACCAAGCTGCCGCTCTTATAATGAGCTGAGATGAAGCGACCTCAAAATCAGCGATTTCTACCAAGCTGCTGCTCTTGTGACGACCTAACAAAGGTGGTCACAATGACGAGCGTATGTGGATAGGACAAGGAACAGATCAACCTGTTACGATATGAATCTTGGGGATTTTTCGAATCAACCAAATCTTTGAGGAGATGCCCTTGTGACGACCTGACAGATGTGGTCATAATGACGAGCTGATGTGGACAGGCTAGGGAACATATCCACCTGTTACGATCTGAATCTTGGGGATTTTTCGAATCAACCAAATCTTTGAGGAGATACGATTGATCTCCCCGTATCTCTCTGCCTTCCTCGTCATAAATGTTGACTTAGCATTTGAGGGGACGCGACAGCTAAAGCCGGCGCATGCTATGCAAGAGGGTGTTAAGTGCCTGCCACCTGCTAACTAGCGCGTCAGGGACACGCGTACGGCAATTACTACAAGAACGGCTGTTTCAGGAAATGGAAAAGGGGAACGGTTATGCCATTTTCCATTTCACTCGTTTTTGAACCGTTTTCCATTTCACTCGTTTTTGAACTTCTGATATTCTCTGTAGCAAAGTGTTTGCAGCCTGAAGAACGCATCACCAGACCATCAACCCAGCAACGTATACAACAATCCAAGGTAAAAAATGGACTTGTTTAGAGAACTCAGAGAGCTGCGAGGTAACCAGGGTAGAGAGGAAGAAGAAGGGGGGTTATATCTATAGAGCCTATTGCGATGATAGTGCCGCCGGCGTTGCAAGACTTGCCGGAAACGATGACGCCTGAGAGTAGCGCCAGTTCCAGTGTTAGGGACAACGGTGGTGACCACCATACTTCATCGTCCAGCAGCTCGTCCTCTAAGGAGACACCCAGCTGCGAGGAAAGGACAGGGAATGTGGTTAGCAATGTCTCAGATCTGCCTATGATTGGAGAGTGGGAAAGCAGGACAATCACGGGCAGGTTGAGCAATCTATGAAAGGTGCCCAAGGACCTACCCGCTAGATTTAGATTCAAGGCCGCGCTGCATCACGAAGTAGCAGACAGTGCGCCCTCAATAAGTGGGTATAGGAAACTAGAGGAGATGGTGAGGGCGTACCACATCCCCAGGACGATATTGCTTCAGACTGGTGCGTAGAATGCAAGGGCGTGCACGGTGTCACAGACGGGTTGGATACCAGTGTACGTGGACCATTTTGAGGCCGGCCTGCGATTTCCCCTGCCCGGGCTAATATTCGACTTGCTAGCGGATTACGAGCTGGCTCTGACGCAGCTGATGCCCAACAGCATAAGGTTCATCATAGGCTTTATGCTGTTGTGTGTGAGGTTGGAGGTACCCGCGAAGGCGATAGTGTTCAGGTCGCTGTTCCAGTGCTGACAATGTCCCAACTCCAGAGGCGCAAAGTGGTATTACCTCTTCGGGAGAGAAAAGAGCCAGCTATTCAAAAATGTCAAGAACAAAGTGGAAAGGTGGAAAAGGCAATTCGTCTTTGTTCGTGATACGCGAACAGAGCGAATAAGCAACGACCTCGCTGCTAGGCTATCTGAGTGGCGTGTGCGGAATGCACACGTCAATTACCCTCAACTGTTGCCACGGGACACGGATCTCAAGAATTAGTTGCTGGAACATGCGAGGAGGGAAAGTTTGATAGATCTAGAAGCCCTGATTACCTCGGAGCAGCTCGCTGTGTTCGGGTTTGTCGACATGGCAAACCTGTTCACAAAAGGTATAATTTTATCATATATCCTGAATTCTAGCCAAGCTAAGTCTTATACATTTGTTTGTGCAGGAGAAATGAGTAGCATACTTGAATGCCAGTGTCAGCGAGCCCAAGGCTCACGAGGTCGCGAAGCAGGCAGCACCTCACAAAGATAGACGCGGTTCAACGAGCGGCCTCCTCCAGCACCACAATCACACAGCTCGGCGTCTAGGCCTCGCGCAGAGCAGCGGGTTGAAATTGCGGCCCTCAGTGCGCGTAGGCGCGCATGCGAGGAGACTGATAGTGAAGATGAGGTCCCCCTCATGTGGCACAGAACAAGTGGGGGGCTCAGCCTGTGCAGGCGGCTCAACCTGAGGCCGCGAGCTCATCAAACGTGCCATCGGCCACGGCGCGAGCAGTGTTGGCACCCCGGATCACGTATCCGGACGGCTTCAGCTATGTGAAGCCTGACTGCCAGCCCGTCATGGTGTAAGGCATGCAAAGCTTTATGCCACCCATGGATCGTCAACGGGCAAGGACTTTTGTGCAGCAGCATGGCGGGCAGGTTGCCATGGTCAAGCTGATGGACGTAAGTATTTACTCGTACTTACGTAATTGTTTTACCATTCCATTCTAGAGACTTATAGTTGTTGCTGTTTGGTAGGCGTTTAGCTACACGGTGGCGCTATTCGAGAGCGAGCAGGGGGCTCCCTCTTAGAATATCGAGCTCAGCGCCAACTGCAAGTAGTTGGCTGCAGAAAAAGCTAGCCTTGTGGATGATGTCAATTGTCTACAAGGCTCAGGGATGGCCAATCGAGCTACTGCAGCAGCGGAGAGCCGAGCAGACGAGCTCGCAAATAGAAACAATGAGCTCAGGGAGAAGCTGAAACGAGCCCATGCTGAAAAAGAAAGCGGGATCCAGGCGGCAAAGGAGGAGGCCGCCCGGATTGAGGAACGGGCCAAGAAGGTTGAGGCTGAAATGGACTGTGCTCTGAACGAGCTGGGCTCCCTCAGGCACCAAGTTGTCGAGGCCGACAACAACCTCAACGCAACTGAAGGGGCCCTGAACGAACTGAAGATTTCTCACGGGCGCTCTATAAGCATCGCCCGAGCTCAAAAGGCAAAATGGCTGGTGGTGGTGGCGTCTGCGAATATGACCACGGAGATCTACAACGAGATCCGTGGGAAAGTGTTGCACCATCGCCCGGACTTCCCCATCCGCGAGTTGGCGTTTTTTGACGGGGAGGATATTGACGAGCAGGGTAAGGGCCTTGCTCCCCTCGCTGATACAACAGTGCGGCTGAGGTGGGACCTCAATGAGGAGGGAGTACCCGTCTAGCCTCCCTTAGTCTTAGAGGAGGGGGAGGATCCAATGGGGCTGCCCTCTTTTGACGGATGGGTGGAAGGGGCTCTGGTGGCTGAACAGGAGCCATCGAGCACTCCTCCCAACTCTCAGCCCACTGTGGTGTCGGCCAAGTCGCCCGTCAATGCACCAGCTCTCGAGCCCACAGCTCGGTCTTCTCCAGCTTGCTCCTCTCCTCGCGTTGCTATCGCGTCCATGCCCGTCGATCTGATGGATGATTAGATTTAGGATTTTTTCCTTTTGATCTTTTGTATTTTTTGTTTCTTTTTGTAAACAATTGTATCACAATCTCTCGTACTAAAACTTGTAATTTTTTGAAAAGAAATACAAAATTGGAGATTATATCAAATTGTTTTTCCTTTGTTGTATTGCATGTATGGTTTACATTTCCACGAACAAATTCTTCAATAACATATCCATTAACTGTAAAATCTTCTAAGATTATGTACATTCCAAATCAAGGTTTTTAAAACCGAACCGGTCATTGAACCATTTTCGGGTCCAGTTTCTGGTTTGACCGGTTCAACCGATTGAACCGATGAACCGACCGATCCAAATAACAAGGGAAATCTGATGAGAGGGGTAGATAATTTTGTAATTTTATTAAAATTAAGGGTTAAAATTGGTATAAGAAAGGAATGGTGAGGGTGAAATTGGAAAAAATAGAAAGAAAATTGCATGAGAAATTGAACCGGTGGTTTTTTCGGTTCTACCGGTTCCATCGATTTCACCGGTTTTGATCAGTTTTGAATGGTTTTTGACCGATTTTGACCTCAAACAATTTTTTTGTGTAAACCGAACCGTTTTCATTACCGAATACCGGTCTGACCGGTTCAACCGATCGATCCGGTCTGATTTTAAAAACCTTGTTCCAAATATATGGCAACCGGCGTCCCTGTATGTCTGCTAACACATAAGACCCAGGTCGCTTGATTTGAATGACCATATAGGGACCTTCCCAATTAGGAGCAAGTTTGCCCATGTGCGAATAAGTATTGGTTAATCCAGCTTTGTGTAAAACCAGATCTCCAACCTTGAACTGACAAGCTCGTACTCTCTTATTGTAAAATTTTGCAACACGACGTTGATATGCCATATTCTTTATTTGAGACATCTCCCTAACCTCTTCTACAAGGTCTAGGTTCTCTCTTAAAAGTTGCTCATTATTAAGATCGTCATGGTGATATGATCTATCAGATGGCAATCCAACCTCAACAAGGATGACGGCCTTAGCTCCATACACCAAGCTGAATGGGGTTTCGCCTGTAGCCGAGCTGGGTGTAGTGCGACATGACCACAGCACTTTATTGAGCTCGTCTACCCAATTAGAATGCGTAGCTAAAACACGCGTCTTGAGGCCTCGCAAGACGATTTTATTGGCGGACTCGGCTTGCCCATTTGACTGTGAAGTATACACGGATGTCAAGGCGAGCTCAATGCCATAGTCGGTATAGAATGACCTCAGTGTCGCGGCTCGGAACTGCGAACCATTGTCTGCGATGATCCGCTTAGGAATACCGAACCTGTACACAGAGGACCGAGCTGAGCCACAAATTATATTTGCATATAATGTACCAATGACTTAAGTCAACAAAGAATACCTGCACAATATTGAATTGAACAAGAATTCTTCTATTTTCTTTTCTGTTGTCGTGGACAATGGTTTAGCTTCTATCCATTTGGTAAAGTAATCCATCGAGACAACGAGGTAGGTGCAACCTCCTTTGCTTTTCACAAAAGGGCCAAGCAGGTCGACTCCCCATTGAGCAAAAGGGCAGGAAGATGAGAGTGATGAGAGCATTTCTCCTGTTTCAACGAAGATACCTATACTTAGTTTATAGACAAACATGAAGTTTGCACGAGCTTTAGGACGAGCTCAGATACCTGGCATGTGAATATCATCAGCGTTGAACTAGTAGGTCGGGCACTTTTTGACATAGTTCTGTGCGTTCTCAACCATAGTTGGCCAGTAATACCCATGCCTCAGGAGTTTCCAAGCTAAAGTTCTACCACCTATGTGTGTGCCACATACTCCTTCACGAACTTCCCTCACAGCATATTCAGCTTGATAAGAAGTGAGGCAGCGTAATAGGGGCATTGAGGCTGCTCGTTTGTAGAACTGATTATCTAACAAAGTGAAATGAGTCGCCCTGTGTTTAATCAACTTTGCAGCGGATGGATCTTGAGGCAGCTCGCCACTGTGCAGATAATCTATGAGCGGGGTAGTCTAGCTCGGTGAAGAGGGATCTGTGCTGAGCAGCTGACACTCGACTGTGAGATCGATGTAGCTCGAAGGGTCAAGTACCTCCACAATTGTTGACCTATGAGGGTTGATATCTTGCGAGGAGGCTAATTTTGACAGCTCGTCAGCTCGTTGGTTATTCGCTCTAGGTATCTTGTCGATTTGGAAGGAGGCAAATCTTCACTTCAATTTGTTGACCACAGAAGCATAGCAACCAAGCTGGGGATCCCTAATTTCACAGCTGCCATTCACCTGGCCCACAACAAGCTGAGAGTCACTAAAAACCTGAATGCACTGCACCTTCAGCTCGGACGCCAACTTCAATCCGTAAATGAGGGCTTCGTAATCCGCAGCATTATTAGTTGTCTAGAACTTAAACCTCAATGCGTGTTCAGATTTAAAGCCATCTGGGCCCATTAACACCGCCCCAGCACCCGATCCTTCAACGTTAGCTACTCCATCAACATACAGGACCCAGATTGGGTGTTTGGATGCCTTTTCTTCCACAGTCGTTGAGATGCACTCCACTAGGAAATCTACTACAGCCTAGCCCTTTATGGTTGTGCACGGTTGAAATTTGAGGTCGTACTCACTCAGCTCGACGCTCCATCCGATAAGCCAACCAGAGAGTTTCGGTTTCTGCAATATCTTCTTCAACGACAAATCAGTATAGACAATAATTTGATGAGATTGGAAGTAAGCTCTCAACTTACGAGTTGTGCAAACCAAGGCAAAAGCAGCCTTTTCCGCTAATGAGTAGTCCTGCTTGGCGCCTTGTAAAACCTTACTCACATAGCAGATAGGCTTTTGATGCTTATTCTCTTCCCTCAGCAAAATCGAACTTATTGCCTCCTTTGTGAACCCCAGATACAAGTATAAACTCTCCCCCTCCACAGGTTTAGACAGTAGGGGTGCTGACGCCAGATATTGCTTGAGCTCGTCAAATGCCTGTTGACACTCCTCGGTCCACTGAAAGTTCTTGGGCTCTCGCAAGGCTTTAAAGAATGGGAGGCACCTTTCTGCCAATCTGGCTATGAACTTGTGCAACGTGGCTACACGATCTGTCAGGCGCTACACATCCTTTACGGTCTTGGGAGGCTCCATCTGCTGAACGGCCTAAACCTTCTTTGGGTTCACTTCAATTTCTTTCTTGGATACTACATACCCTAGGAATTTTCTTGATTCTACAACGAACGTGCACTTCAGGGGATTCAACTTCATCTGGGCTCGACGCAAGTTCTAAAACGTCTCACTCAGGTCGGTTATATGGTCCTTAGCTCGCACACTGGTGACTATCATGTCATCCACTTATACTTCTATGTTCCTGCCGAACTAGAGTTTAAAGATGATTTGCACCAGCTTCTGATAAGTAGCACCAGCGTTTTTTAAGCCAAACGGCATCATGACATAGTAGTAGATTGTGTCACCAGCATAAAAAGCTGTTTTCTCTTGGTCGTCCAGCAGCAACTGTACCTGGTGGTACCTTGAGCTAGCGTCGAGGAAGCTCATTTGCTCGTGCCCAATTGCCCGCTCGACCAACTTCTCCACATTTGGCAAGGGATGAGGGTCTTTTGGACATGCCTAATTTAAGTTGGTGAAATCAATACACATTCTCCACTTGCTGTTCGGTTTTTTGACGAGCATAGGGTTGGACACCCACTCCGAATATTCAACCCTCCTGATGAGGCCTGCTTGTAGTAGCTTCTGTATCTCTTCATTTATAGTGGCCTGCTTCTCAAGGCCAAAAAGGCGACGTTTCTACACTACCAGTCTCTTGGTGGGGTCCATACTAAGTTTGTGGACTGTCAACTCTGCTGGGATGCCAGGCATTTCATTCGTAGTCCACGCAAACACGTCTTGATTAACCCTCAAAAACTCCAAAAGCTCTGCTCGTTCTTCTTCTGTGAGCTTGGTGCGGATCTTGATTGTTCTTTCCGGCACATCAGGGTTTAAAGGGACTGTTTCTATTGGCTCTACTGGCTCTACTGGCTCTACTTTCTGTTCGACACCCTAAGGTCGATGCTCAATGTCTGATATGCTCATTGTCTGTTGACCGGGCTGAGTCGACCTATTACCTCCAGAAGGGCCTCTCGGGGCTACAACGAGCTCAACCTTCTTAAATGTATCTTGATAATAGGCTCTGGCCATTTTCTGATTCCCCTTTAGTATTCCTACCCCCTAGGGAGTTGGGAATTTTATACAGAGATGGAGTTGTGAAATAACAGCCTTCAGCTCGCATAGGGTAGCTCTTCCTAATATAGCGTTAAAAGTTGATTCCATCTTGACAACCAGAAAGTTAACAGAAGCCATCCTAAACCATGGTTCTAAGCCCACATATATGGGAAAGGTAATAACTCCCTCAACCGGGACGTGTTGATTGTCAAAACCATATATGGGCCCCTCATACTTTTGCAGCGAGCTCGGATTCAGTTGCATCTTTTGGAAACAGCTCCAGTATAAGATATCTGGCGAGTTACCAGTATCGATAAACACCTTGTTGACGTTATGATTGCCTATATGAACCGTTGCCACGAAAGGATCTGCATGGGGCATCATAACATCTGGCTCTCTTTTTGCTCGATTGTAATCTGCCGAGCTGAATGTAATAGGCGCATTCTCCCACTCCACCTCCTCGAATGGTCGCTTCAAAGGTCTGTTCTTGTTGACGGTCATCACTTGTCGGGCATATGCTTTACGACCTCGAGCGCTTTGACCTCCAGAGTGTATTCCATCCGAGATCATGTTTATTGTGTCCGAGGTCAGGGGTATCCCAGCATAGCCTACCCCCTTCCTGTCTTTTTGGTTATGGGTGGCGATTCTTTGTCCTTGGCCTCGCCTATTGAATTGGCGTCCCCTGTACGCTTTGCCCTGCTCAGAAGGATATTGATTATCCTGATACACATCCTGTGTGCCGCCGAGCTGATACCTCTACCCCTAAGGTCGGTCATATCCTTGCACAAAGTGAGTTTGAGAAGGTTGCTGGGTATAAGGCTTCTGCACATATCCTTCCAATTTCCCGTTGTGAGCTAAGAACTCTAGCTCGTTCTTCAAGTGTTGGCAGTCTTCTGTGTTGTGACCATAAGTACGATGGTAGTCACAATGCTTGCTCTTGTTTGCCCTTGGGGAATCATGCAGTGGGGGTGGGGGTTTTCTAACCCAGTGCTGGATTTGTGCCAGGATTTGAGACCTTGGCAAGGTCAAAGGAATGTAGTTGGCATACTTTGGGAAGTCGGCGGGCTTCCCCCACTGCTCGTTGACTTTCTGCTTTTTCTTTTCTTCTCTCCTCAGTGGTTGTTCCTGGCTTTTGCTCTACTTATCGTCAGCTCGTCGCTTGGACGACTGGAAGTCCTTTGACAGTATGAAGCTAGCCGACTTGTCATTCACTTCGTTCCACGTCTTCGATGGGTTTTCTAGTAGGTCGTCTAGGAACCGACCATGCTTCAAACCATGCAGCAAGGCAGACAAGCAGATGGTATCTGGGACGTTATCAATGTCTAAAATGGTTTTGTTGAATCGCTGCATATAGTCCTTCAAAGATTCCCCTTTTTTTCTGATGAACTTGCATCAACTCGGTCGCTGTGCATTTAATCTCCCTTTGGCTCGCAAATTTGTTGGAGAATAGCTTGGCGAGCTGGGAGTATGAGTCTATAGAGTGTCTGGGGAGTTTATGATACCATCTTTTGGCCGTTGACTTCAATGTCACTGGGAACACTTTGCACATCATGGCATCATTGGCATTTTGGATTCTCATGATGGCTTGATAGGTGTGCAGATACTCATCTGGGTCACCCAAGCCATCATATGTCTCCAGGTGGGGAATTTTGAATCCTTCTTGATACGGTTCTACTGTGATGGATAGGTTTAGTGGAGCACTATCCAAATCAAGGGTTTGTTGGTGTGACCTGGGACTTTTCAGCTTGTCAATGGATTTTTGTACATCCCGCAGTTGTCTTTCAAGGTTTGCGTTCTTTCTCATTAGTTCTTCATTATGTTTGGACGAGCTGGGCTCGTTATTTAGCTTCCCACTTCCCCTTGGTTTGATCGGCACTACTATGTTGCTCAATGCGAGGGAGTTTCTAGTTGCAACAACCGCAGCTGGCTGTGCATCCTTGTTCAATAAAGGAATCAAGGGGTCATCAGGAATCAGACAGGCTAAGATTTTGCCCATTGCCATTTCGAGACTCTGGTTCTCTCTTCGAGCTCGGTTGCTCGAGCAGGTTCTGTTGACTTTTCAGGTTGTTCGTGTTGTAGATTACTTTGCCTGGGTTGTCTTTGCCTTGTTCCTATTGGAATTTAGAAGTGTTTGGGCTGAGTTACATGCCTAGTTGGTGTTCTTTCATCATCATCTGTTCCACTTAATTGATCTTGTTTTGCTCCCCCAACAAAAAGGTTCCTCGGCATTGGTCTAAAATCATTAAGGCCGAGCTCAGATAGCTGAGTGTCCTCCTGTTCATCCATTTCATTTCTCGAGGGGCGACTTCCAATAAAGGTTCGAACCATTTTGTCTTTCTACCGGTTAAACTACACAGCTTCTTGCTCGATTTCCCACAAACGGCACCAAATGTTTGGGCAGCTTCGCAATCCAACACTATTGAAGTCCTCGGCTGCTTCTACACCTGAAAATCCCGAGAATGTTTCCTCGGGGAAAACACTCCGACGCTCAAGTCAGCAATACTCGATATTCTAGAGAGAGATGCTCTCAAGATGTAACTGCAGAGAGAGAAGCGTAGACATTAATTACCTTCATCGGAGGTAGTTGGGGGGCATTTATAACCCCAAGTGCTGACATGCATCTGTACATGTAAGCATCTCATTGGTTCACGTGGCACTGTTCACGTGGGTATGTTTATATTGGTGCTCCCTCACTTTGGGCTAATGGGTGTTAGCTTAGGCCCATTACGTAGGGCCTAAATTAGATGTTGGGCCTATTCCAACAAAAGGAAAAGAGTTAATAAGGAACATTGAAGAGGCCAAAAGAAGGAAAGGGAAAAAAAGGAGGGGAGTATAGAGAAGGGGGGTTGGAGAGAGGAAAAATCTTATGAGTCTTCATTAGATTTACAAGTCAACACATAAGATTATGTGGATAGAATTTTTGTCAACTTAACACTCACTATAAAAAAAAATGGTCTTTTATTTTTTAGGTACATAGGACAGTGCACTTATGAACTGATTAATCTAGAGGCATGGGGCTTACAAACACCTAGGAGATCCTCCATTATTCTTTGTGTAACTACCACAGGTGGGACTACAAAGTAGTGCCATCCCTTGCCTAAATGATAAAATTTCAAAGCCATCGCATTGCATAATTGTTGGCTTCCCTAAATACATGACGAATTTCTCATTGCTAATCCCTTTGTAACAGTTCTTGACACCTATTGACCAAAACTCCATAAGGATCAAGATTGGTTGTTCCATGCATAACCTCATGGACTGCCGGTAAATAATCAAATTTCAAAATCACCATCCTATAATTTCTCTACCATGCAATTTCTAAACCTTTAAGTATAGAAAAGATCTCTACTCAAACCGCATGACCTACTCCCAATTGCATATTAAAACCAAATTGCCATAACCCAAAAGAATCTTTGCAGATGTCTCCTACTATTGATAAACCTTGAGAACCCAAAGAAGATCCATCTACATTTATTTTAAAAGTTCCAAGCGGTGGGGTTTCTTATCCAACAAGTTTTTGTCTCTTTGGTTGTAACTTGAAATCTTTCTTTGAGTATGTTGCTGCCTCTACCAAATGGTTGGTTAGCATTCCTTGCTTGTTGAAAAGCCAACCTTGATCACCCTTAAAAACAGCTTGGTTCCTCTCGAGCCAAATAAACCAAACAATGATAACAAATGCTATATCCCATGAAAGGTTGAAATCTACTTTCACATTAGATTGTTGAAGATTGTATTTGAACCCATTCTAGTAGAGAAAGTTGACACCACCTCTCTTACTACTCCTTGCTCAGCCGTCTACTGCATATCTAGCGAGATGATGCACAATCTCGGACCAAGTGTAACACATCTTCATATCCATTTTGACATCTTGGACAATTGTCATCCCTGGTCATGCCCTTCTCCATTCAAGATACATTAGTAAGCACCTTATTATGCAACACCAACCATAAGAATGTCTTAGTCTTTGGAAGAGCCTCAACCTTCCATATCTCAGACCAACAACCTACAATAGAAGATGCAATTGATTTTAATAATAGATTATAAGCAGAGGTTATAGTAAATTCACCATTTTAAGTCTCTTTCCAATAGATAATATCCTTGTTATCCACATCTTGATCAAGATTCACCAATTGAATTTGATTTATAATATCCTTGGGTAACAGTTGGTTGAGATAATCCAAATCCCAACTTCCATTAACATAATAATCGGATACATGTTTGTATAATTGCTCGGCTTCAATGAGATTTGTAACTTTCAATGCAAACGGGCTATCCAAGACTCAATGGTCTAGCCATAATTTGATTTCTTTGCCGAACCTAGCTAGATATCCAATGCCCTCTCAAACAAGGGGTTTGGCATTTAGAATCCCTTTCCAGGTACCATATACACCATTCTTCAGTTCAACCTGCAAAAAGGATTCATCAAAATAATATTTCTTCTTAATCAATTTTGCCCAAAAGGATTTTTTTTTCAGTTAACAATTTCCAACTAAGCTTAGCTAGTAAGGCTTGGTTCATTGTAGTTGTTGATTGAAGGCCTAAGCCTCCCCAATCCTTTGGCATATAGACTATTTCCCATTTAACCAATGGAACTCATTGGTGTTCATTTGATTTGCCCCAAAGGAAGTTACGATTAATTCTATCAAGCTCTTCACAAATTGATTGAAGTAGCCTATTTGGCAGCATGACATGGTTAGCTATGGTTGCACATACAAATTGCACAAGGACTTGTTGTCCTACAAACTAAAGTCAATCTGCCTTCCATCGAGAGAGCCGATCCCTGACCCAAGTAATTAAATTCTGAAAGGTTTCCTTGGTTGCTCATTTGGAAAGAATTGGAACACCCAAATACTTGCCAATATCTTTTGATGCCTCTATCCTTGGTAAAGTACAAATGGCATCTCTTGTTGTCTCTATCGTATTTGGAGAAAAGCAAATTTTAGATTTTGCGGGATTCACTTTTTGTCCTGAGACATTGCAAAAAGTATCTAGTATGTTCATGATTCCACCAACATTTTCAATTGTTGCTTTCCTGAACAAAATTAAATCATTAGCAAAA